CCCTGAGCTACCTCCCCAGCCCAGTTTCTTCATATTTAAAATGATGATTATTTTCTTGCCCTAATAGTTTTTCAGAACAGTCATGAAAACTTAAAAAAAAAATACCATTAGTTCAAATCCCAACATTTTGCAACTATCCAAGTGCTTTCACAAAGCTTAGTTCGTTTCACCATCTGACACTGAGACTTGAATTAGGAGAAAGGGGTTCTAGCTTGAAGTATGCCACTTTCTAGTTTTGTGACCTCTCTGAGCCTCATTTTTATACCCTCATTGGGTATAAAGTGAATATACCCAATTTACAGATGAGGAAAACAGGGTGAAAGGTGAACTAAGTTGCTTAAGATCATWGAGCTATTAAGTGGCAAAACCCAACATAAGCCTTCTAATTTTAAGTTCAAGGAATGTTCCATATTTGGGGAAAAAGAAATCCCAACCCAGTGTAAAGCCTATGAAATGCTTTACAAATATGTTATTACTACTTTGGGGCAAGGATGAATAAGCCCAAAGAAGCAYTGTGCCTGACGCTGAGTTGGGTGACCAGTGAAGGCGTTGGTCCTTTCCCACGGCGCCCCCTGACTCACCTGTTGGACAGGTAGGGGGGAAGGGGAGAGTAATGAGTCTTACCTGCTCAGAGCTAGGGTGGGGCAAGACACACCCCACCCCTTTCATTGGTTCTTCCCTTAGTCTTACTGACAGACCCTTGCCCAATCAGGAGGAAGTAACTTTCTATCTGCCAATAGGTGCAGAGTGAGGATGGGACCTGAAGTTGGAGTCCATCCCCAGAGTCGACAGGCAGTCCCTGGGGCCAATGGGGAGCGCATAAACAGAAGCGGCCGTGGAAGGGGACTGGGCGCGAGGCTCCGCCCCTCGGTGGGACACTCAAGCGAAGCAACCAGTGAGTTCGCTTCTGTGGGTGGGCGTCTTCCTCAGGGGCGGAGCTTCAAGGGGGCGAGAGGTGTGGCTTGGCTGTCAGGTCCCTTCGCCTTTTGTTCGGTTACTGAGTTGCTGCCTTGGCCAGAGTCCGGAGCAGCCGCCGCCCGAGCGCGCCGAGCTCAGTTYGCTGCCCGCGCCGGCTCCCACCCGGCCCAACCACGACCCGGCCCGGCTCACACACGCAGGTGCGGACAATCAGGGCAGGTAGAGCTGGAGAGAGAAGGGATGACGAGCGACCGAGAAGGGGGGTCCCACCCGTTTTAGGGCAGGTGAGGGTGGGTGCTAGGGAGCGCCACCTTGCACCGGCGGCAGGGGGCGCGCTAGGGTCCTGTGCCCGGCTTCTCGGGGGTACGCGGTTAGGGCGGAGAGTGCCTCGGGGCTTCGAGAGCCGGGGATCCGAGAAGGGCGGGGAGGGATCAAAGCAGGTGCCTCCTGGGTCGCGCCTCCCGCGGAGCCCGGGGAGCCTGCCCGACGCCGCGTCCCTGGCTCTCGCCCTGCGCTGGCGGGGAAGACTTTGACCTGCTCCGCCTGCGTTCCGAAGCTCACTCTGCAGTCGGGAATTGACCGTCTGGGAAACTTGCTGCCGCTGGTCTCTACGGGGCCACCCTCACCCCACCCCACGCGTCATCCTCGCTTTCCCTCCCTCCCTACTCCCCCAGGCCTGGGTGGGGCCCTATTGTCTGCGCCCAGCTTGCCCAACTGTGGGGGCCGAGCTCACATTTTCCCAGCGACGCGGGCCCCACCTGCTGAGCAGGTGAGCGCAGGAGTACGGGGGCCTCCCCTCCAGCTTGTTGCGAACCGTACTTGCGACGCCTCCCTCCTCCCGGGTGGGTGCCGGGCTATGGCTCCTCCACGGGAAGTGGGATGGGGTGACGAGGGGGCTGGTGCCGGGCTCAGTGCTGTTCTGGTGTCTGGCACTCTCGGCTTGGCCTGGGGCGTGCGGGGGAGGGGTCTTTGCACGGGTAGAGAGAATTCAGGGTCACCTCGCTCAGTTTCCAGTAGCTGCGCTTCCAGTGTTGATATGGGAACAGCAATACCCCTTATTCTCTAATCTCATATTGTTGAAAAATCACCCTAAACAAACTTTCCAGGAGGAAGTAACCTTGGCGCCTTTCTCTGGGGGTTTTCCTGTTTCCTTGCCCAGAGCTTCCTACAGGCTCAGGGGGTCCTTTTGGAGCAAAGCGCCTTCCCGCAGCCGGCTCCAGGCTGAACGTGGGCCAGTGCCTGCGCTCTGACCCYGTCCTCCCTGCCCCCACCTCCATCCTGTTTGCTGGGCCCCTGGGGCCCGAGGTGGGGCCCGGGGTTGGGGGGGGGGGCGAGAGGGGAAGCGGCTTCTTCCTGMCTCCGGGGACCACCACACCCCCTCGGATGAGGCCTGCGCCAGTGGCTGGCTCTTCCAGGCTCTGCCCCCTCCCCAGGAATGGGGTGGGTGCCAAGCTGAGGAGGGCTGGGGGTGTGATTGTTCTTGTCTTTTTTTTTTCCCTGCACCCCATCCCCCAATATTCCTTAGCTGGCTGGTAATTGAGGCAGAAGAGCTGGGTGCACCGGGGCTGGCTTTCCATTTGATTTGTGAATTATGAAGGTGCATTCTTTCTGGAGGCTTTGCAGCCCTTTCTATATCCCCCGGTTTCCTGAGAGCCTTTGGTGGGGAAAGTGGGACAGGAGGAAGGCCTTTTGAGGAAGATTTCCTCCATGCAGGCACCCTGGGGCAGAGCTGCATTAGCCTCCTCTCCCCCCAGTGCCCTGGGAACCCATCCCCTGGCTGATTTCCACCAGGCTTGCTATACTGGTTTTTAAAAATCAAGTGTGGTCTTTTTGCAGGTAGTTGGAGCCCAGCCTCCTTGGGGGACAAATCAGGAATGTCAGGGCTGGGGCTCTCCCTCAGTCATGGGGCAGGGGGAAGATTTGGGTGGGGATTATCAGGGCTGCTTGTCCTGATTCCCGTGGGAAGAACCTATTGCCTCTTTCTTAACTGTAGATGGGAGAGTGGGCACCAGGTGTCAGACCCACTTCTTTGGAGTGTCCTGGTGAGGCTCTAACTCAGCCCTAGGAATGGAGGGGTGTATATGTACACCCCTAGGTAGCTCCAAGGACATAGAGTTTGTGCCTAAACAACCTGTTTTCCCTCCTCTCTTGCCAAGGTGGGGGAGGAGAAGGCATTGTAATTACGTTGACTAAATGATTAGTTGAGCTAATCTAGTTTGTGACTGAGATGAAAAGATAATACTGAGGAAGTATTGCTAGGAGGTGCCTGGTGAAAACTGGCTACTGACTGAACAGGAGGGAGGGGGAAAGAAATAGGATCCAATTAGTCTTTTCTTGCCAGATCAAGCCCCAGCTTGGGTGACAGGAGGCCTCCCCCGCACCCTAGCTCCACCCCATTCCCTCTGGAACCGCTGTTTGGGCTGCCAGGGCTGAGGCTTGGAGAATGCAGCTTGTGGGAATGAAGGAGGTCAGGTGAGGGCTGGCAGCTTCTCCCCTTTGGAGGCCCATGGGGTGGGTGCCGATGAGAGGGGGTGCTCTCCCCACCAAGCGCTACCTTAGAATGACATGGCACAGTTGACTAGTCTGCAGAAGGACTCATTATCTGGAGAGGAGTAGGGGACACCTCTCCAGATAGGGGGACAGTTCTGAGTTCAGGGATTTGGACTTGGACAGAGCTGGACTTCAGTCCCAGCCCAGGGTCTCATTACTGGTGTAGCCTTGGTCAAAGTTCTCTTGAAGCCTCAATCACCTCTTTGGCARAATAGGAATAATAAATCCTACCCACTAAGTAAGAACTTGATGAATGGTAACTTGAAATTAAGAAGAGACTGTGTATACCAAGCACTTTCCTCACTGATCTCATGTACTCGTTTTGGCTACCCTTAAAGAAGCAGGTGTCATCAATTCCATGCTCGAGATGAGGAAATTAAAACTCAGGGAAGTCAAGTAACTTGCCCAAGGTTGCACAGCGGGACTCAAGCAGAGCCAGAATTGGCATTTGGGTTCTCTGGCTCCAAGCCCAGAGCCCATTCTGCCTTATGGTTCTTCTGCAGCTGTGAAAGGATTTTTTTTTTTTTTTTAGCGCTAGGGATGGAACCCAGGATCTCACATGTGCTAGGCAGGCACTCTACCACTGAGCCACACCCCCAGCCCTGGAAAGAATTTTTCTGCTGCCTCTTTTTGACGGCTTCTGCTAGATTGGAAAGAAGAGGATTCAGAAGGGCCCAGCAAGCTGTGTGGGTGGTAAAGGTGGGGACAGGTTTGTCAGGTGGGGTGACTCATGTCCTAGCTGCTAGCWCTCTGAAAACTTCTCCAGTGGCTTGATGGAGGGGTAGCTCCCCAAGGCCAAGGGCTCTGGTGAGTGTTGGGGGATGTCAGGAGGGAAGAGGGGCATAGGTTAAAGCCATGCTGTCCCCCAACTTGTGCTAGGTAGAACCCTGGCTTTCAGGGCCTGTGCCTGCACACGCCTGCTTGGCTGCGGCTGGGGCTGTGCCAAGATGAAGAGGGGCTGCTCCCTGGGGAGTGGAGAGAAATGAGAGTGAGACTTAGGCCGGGTGTCTTGCTGAACAGTGCTGGCCTGTGCTTCCAGGCCTTTGTGGAGGGGAACTGGCTGTGCTTTGGAGGCTGGGAGGCCTGGGGGCTGTAGTAGGCTGCTGCTGGGTGGGTGACCTTTCTAGTGATGGGGTGAGAGTCTTGGGTGCTATCAGCCAGAGCTTTGGGCTTTGAGGGAGGAACTGGTATCCGGTTGTCCTGTCAGACCAGCCTGGATCTCGATCTGGCACCTCTGCCAGCTGGGCACCTGATACCAGAATAAGCCTGCAAACCGTCTTAGAAATGGGTTCTCTGAATGAGGCCCTGGGTTCAAACCCCAATACCCGGGGAAACAAAATAGAAATGGGTGCTCCATGTGTGACGGTGCAGTCTGATTACTGAGCCTCTTACCACCAGACTGTCACATCCCTTGAAGGCAAGAGGGGACCTCGGACACGGGGATTATGGATCCTTGTGAAAAGAAGACGAAGGGCCTTGGTATGAGAGAGAAGGAAAAAGAAGGAACTCATTCTGGCTCTCCAGAGGGTGATGGACATGTGGTGGTTTTTGTTTGTTTTGGTTTTTGGTGGTCCTGGGGATGGAAACTAGGCCTTCCCACAGGCTAGGCAAGTGTTCTACCAACTGAGCTATATCACCAGCCCTGGCTTGTGATTTTTCTATCATTGAGGACACAAAAGCAAGAAATGGGATGGATTCCCTAATGGAAGGAATAGAGGYTAGACAGGAGGAAGGACTTCTGCACATTATAGATGAGTTGTCTTTTTTTTTTTTTTTTGGTACCAGGGAACCACTGAGCCACATCCTCAGCCCTTTGTATTTTTTTTTTGGAAACAGGATCTTGGTAGGTTGCTTAGGGCCTCCTTAAATTGCTGAGGCTGGCTTTGAACTTGAGATCTTCCTGCCTCAGTCTCCTGAGCCTCTGGGAGTACAGACGAGTGCCACCATGCTCGGCTTCCCAATCCTTTAGTTTATGTTTTATTTTGAGACAGAGTCTCACATGTTCCTGAAGGTCTCGCTAAGTCTCTGAGGTTGTCCTCAAACTTGTGGTCCTCCTGTTTCAGCCTCCTGAAGGCATGCGCCCCTGTAYGCGACTCACAGAGGAGACCTTGCTTTGAAGGAGAGCGATGGAGGAGTGGAGGCTCCGAGTCGACTCTCCTGAGGAGGGGTCGTGCTGCCTGGGAGGGACCGCTCCCTCTGGGTGAGAGTCTGAGGCCTGCTGGGGTCCCTGGGACAGAACATACTCAGTGAAATATTTCATGCAGAAGAAATGAACAATACCAAAAACTCAGCAGAGCTGTCTTGTATCTTTTGGGATAAGAGCCAGATGGCARTGAGGGGGACAGGCATCTGTGAAAAGGTTGCCCCAGAGACCCTGTGGAGAGAAAAAAAAGCAGTGTGGCTGACTGGGGCAGGTCCTTGGGGTTTGTATTACTGCAGGTRACATCCTGAGGCCTCTCCTGGGACCTGGTTGAGGTTGGTGGAGATCTGGGGAGGTGGATTGCCCTATTTTCTAGCTATCCTCAGCCCAGCCTGGTGAGAAAGCTTTCCAACTCCTCCCCTGAGCTCAGCCTTGAGGACCCTCTGGGCTGGAAGATCAGCTTTCRGTCTTTATCGACTGGAGACAGTGGATTCTTCTCTCTCTACCTCCGTCTTCCCCCATCTGTCCGATTTTGTGAGGCAACTACCCAGAAGGCCCATTTCTTCCCCTTCTCTTTCCTTGGCGCCCTTTTGGTCTTTAGCCTCCATGCTGGGGAGCTCATGCTCTGGACACCAGGAGTTTTCACCGAGCCTCTTCCAAAGCCTAGCTTTTCTCTAGTGTGCCCCGTGTGGGGACCACGCAGCCAGACCTCCTTGACTCTCCCAGGAGAGGGTCAGGTCACCTTCCTGCGGAATCTCACACTAAGGAACGGACATCAGCCGGGGTCCAGTTGAGGAGTGGGCTGACCAGGGACCAGGCTGTCCAGGCCCCAGCGGTGGTGGCTAGGGGTAGTGCCATGAGGGTGTCGCTGTGTGGAATTACGTCACCAACACAAGCAGCCCTTCGCTGTTGTTCCTGCTGGGGCTGAAGTGATTTTCCATTCGCCGGAGTCCCAGTTTGGGCTCATCTGCCGGCTTGGGATTGTGCCCACAGAGGGTCCCCAGGAGGGAATGGAAGGTCCAGCTGGAGCCCAATCCAGGGGAGCCCAGAGGTTCCTGAGGTCACGCCACTTGGCCCGGGCATTTCCCTCTCCTACAGATCCCCTTCATTTTCCCACTCGGGTTTGTTGGCTTTGGGCGGGAGCCCAGAAGGAGGAAAACAAATAGCAGCTGGGTCGCAGCCTGAGTCGCCCCAACTCCCAGCTTGTGCTCAGGCCACAGCCTGGGCTGTCCTCCAGACTGGAAGTGAGGGTTTTCCTCCGGAAGCTTCCCTGTCTTCTCTCATCCCCTGCTTGGCCAGCCCTGGCTCCACTAGTGTCTGCCCTCTTGAGGTGACCATTCTGCTGATGCAGACCCCAGTGTCTGCCCAGGACCCTCTGGTCTGCAGCACTTGTTGGTGAGGGTGGGGGTGAGGGAGCCTGAAGCTGCCAGCCTGGGGGAGAGGCCCTTGGGGAAGCCCCAGTCTGAAGAGGGAGTTAAGGCTCCCAAGGGAAGCAGTGATGTCTGGCTCTCCGTTTGTGCCTGTGCTTGGGACTGCTGGCCACATCTCAGCTGGAGCAGTGGGGGAGGCTATGGGCCAGGACCCTGCTGAACCCGGCTCCCCAGGCTGCTGTATGGGAAAAACCCTTCCCTAACTGGCCTTGCTGTCCCTTGCTGCAGGAGGCGGCATCTAACTGCCGAGGGGGAGTCGAGGGTCTCCACCTGGACTGGGCCAAGTTGCTCTGCCTGCCCAGGACTGGACATAGCTTCTCTCCAGCCATGCACCCACCCCCTGCTTCCCCAGGGGCCTCTGGCCTAGACCTGGGAGGCAGTTCCTCTCCTAGCCTTCATCCAAGGAGTCAGAGAAAGGCAGTCTGGGTCTTGAAAAGGCAGGCAGGCTGCCATCCACCTTGCCCTGCCGCCCTCACCCCCCCCACATCTCTGCAGCCTCCTGTCTGGCGCCCGTTTCTCTGATGCGAGGAGAATGCTCGCCTCTCCTGTCCACAGACCGCTTCCAGAGTCACAGCTGTTCCGTTCCCGCAGCTGACTGAAGAAAGGAGTAGCTTGATTGGCTCTGTTTATAGACGAGGAAAATGAGGCTGARGAAATGGAGTAACTTGCCCAATTGTGCACAGCCAGTGAGGGGTGGAACCTCATGGAGCCCCGCTTGCCTCAGAATGCCCTGCTCTCCTGCCTGCTGCTCCCTCCCGTCACTATCTGAGCCTTGGATGTGGATCTGCACAGGGTGCTGGCCTCTGGCTCAAGGAACCCTGGGATCCCAGCCCTATAACTCCTTTCCTTCTAGTCCCCAGATGCAGTGTTTCCGAGCCTTGGTCCAGCACAGCCTCTCAGGCAGCCTGTCCTTGCTTCTGGTTGTCTTATTGACCCGTGGCCTCCTGCAGCCAGCCTCGCTGTGCCCTTTGCTGACCGTCCTCAGCGGGTGCTAACTGGGGCAGAAGGCTGTCTGCACAGAGGGGTGCATCGAAGGACGGGGTGCACTCCAGGGTACACCCTCAGCCGCTCGTTTCTTCCTTGCAGGCGCCTACTCCATCTGGACTGGGCGGGGAAAGGATCCTTCCCAACCCTGTCAGGGCCCTGTGTCTTCTCTCCTCCTGTCCTTGAGCTGTCCCCCACTGCTCCCTGTGATCTCTCAGCTGGYTTCACCCTCCCCTATTGCCAACAGTAGAACGTGCTCTAAACAAAGGCTTCCCCCAGAAACCCGCCCTGTGTCTGTCTGTGCTTTCTCCGGCCTGGCTCATGGGCAGGGCCCTCGRTATCTCCTGCTTCCACCCTGTCTCTGTCCAAGGCAATTGTGGAAGGTCTGACTCCAGGGTCAGGGTGGAATGTAATGAGACCAAACTGGGTGCGGCCCTCCACCCCTGAGAAGAGCCAAATCTGCACTTTTGATTCTTGTGGGAGAATTTCCCAGGTCTTTCTCAGGAGAAGGGAGGGAGAAAGGTGGGGCAGGTTGATAGTCCTGCTTTCCTGTTGCAAGAATATCTGTCCGTGCGTCCTCTCCCTGGGAAGAGTTCTAGTGCCTGTCCACTCCCTGAACCTCTGTCCAACTCTGACCTCATCCTCAGACTTCTCTSATCTGCATGGGAATCCTGGTCACTTATTACTAGGATCTTAGACATCAGCATTCCTTTGAGATGACCTGAGCCAGCCTTTCTGTAGAGGAAGCCCAGAGATGGAAAGTAATTGCCCAGGGACTCCCAGCACTTTGTGGAACTGGGACTGGAACCTGAGATGATTGGTGTGCAGCGGGGTGTTCTTTCACCTGTGAGTACCCTCGGCCACGTCAGCCCCCTCCTCCCTTGGCAAGAGGGCTCAGCTCCATCAGTCTTGCCTGGTGGACCACATGCTGTTTCTACTGTGAGACAAACCTGGATAGGGGCAGAACATCACCATCTTCTCCGCGGGGAGCCTCAGCYACCCTACCCACCCCACTTTTTTGGTATTAGATATTGAGCTCAGGGGTAGCCTCCCACTGAACTGCATCTCCAATCCTTTTTATTTATTTTTGATTTAGAGACAGGGTCTCACTCAGTTGCTGAGGCTGACCTTGAACTTGGGATCCTCCTGCCTCAGTCTCCCAAGGTGCTAGGATTTCAGGTGTGCACCACTGTGCCCAGCCCATTTCCCTTCCTAGAAGTTGGGAATAAAAAAATGCCTGACAGCAAGAAAGAGATCCATTTGATATTAAAGGCAACTGGGTGCCTGTACCCCCTGCCCCCATCATTGTCCCTCTGTCCTGCCCTGGGTAGCTGTCTGGCCCTCAGCTTTCCTTGGCTCCAGGCCCGGGCTGCTGGGGGTCGCGAGGGGCCTKCGAGGAAACTCCCCATGGCCTGGACCTTGGTGGTCCTTTCTAATTAGAGGCTGGTCCCTGTGATTTGGGATGAGGACCCCTCCCCTCTGGAATGACCCTTGGGTTAGGCAGAGAAAGGGCCTTTCCTGGTCAGAATGGGGCATTTGTGTGGAGCAGGGCTGGGCATGCTCGGCGTGGCATTTGGGGGGTTATTATAACTGTGCTTCACCTTCATCTCAAGTGCTCGGATGTCCAGTTTTCTTCCTCCCCCCAGGGGCAGCTTCTTTGYTCAGCTGGCCCCTCCCAAGCTCCTTGGTTCTCTCTTGGGACCTGCCATTGGGGCAGGGGGTGGGATGGGGGAGGCAGGCAGAGCGCCAGGCAGGATTTTCCTGAGTCTGTCTCTTCCAAGCCCCTGGTTTCCTGCCATTGACCCTTGTCTGCTGCCCGGGACAGGGTGCATGGGAAGGGCGGGGGCGGGGGTTGCCTCCCGAAATAGCCATACTTGGCGAATGCCTGGGAGCAGCTGTGCACATCTGGTGGCACAGAGCCTGCCGTCTGGTGTCCTGGGCCTGCTTCTGTTTATCAGCCCGAAACTCTGAGTCACTCCGTGTGGCAGGAGCAGAGGAAGGAGGTGGCTGCGAGCTGGTCTGGCTCCTGCCTCTGCCTGTGTGTACTAGGTGCGCTCAGGACAGGGGAGGGGCTGTGCATTGCCATAAAAGGGAACAAGACCTGAGGAATCCTTTGTCATCCTCCTCCAGGGTGGCTCTGGGCTGTCATTGGGAAGAAGTCCCTGGTGCTCTTGTTCCTGGGGTGGGGCCAGGTTGCTCTGGTYCCCCACCCTCATCCCCATCAGTCCCTCATCACCGTGGGACAACCAGCTTGAGGGGCAGGGTGCCAGCCCTCTTCATGGGGGACCAGCCTGGGGTCGGCTTGCTCTCTGAGGCCACCTGGGACATGCAAAGGCAGCAGACATGGGTGCCATTCATGCCTGTGCCTGGTCCAGGCTCCGTATCTGTCCATGTGGGAACAGAGYGTGTGCTTTGAAATGGCGCCTGCGAGGATGACAGAATCGGTGAGAGGTCTGGCACAGAACCGGCCCTCGTAGCTTCCTGCCTCTCCTCCAGTCACCCGCCTCTGCAGGTCAGTCCCCAAGACAGAGGAGGCAGGCAGACCATGGGGTGGTTCACACACCTGCTTCAAAGTATTAGCCAACCTCCAAGCACCCCCAAGTCTCTGCAGAGAGGGCCAGGGGTTCTTGAGGGGCAGTGACCACCCCAGAGGCCTGCCCCACTCCATAGCCCTAAGCCTGGGTTCAAGGTGAGAAAGTACTTCCGGGGGTAAGGCGGTGCCCACGGTGACAGCCACGGCCTCCAAGGCGGAACGCCTGCCGTTTGTCAGTGCCAGGACCATCCTGGGTYCCTGGCTGTCCTCACAACAGCCCCCGGGGAGGTGTAGCTGGGTTTTACAGATGAGGATACTGAGGCTGCACAGAGATGCGAATTTGCCAGGAGTGGTGGCTGAGATCCGAGGCGTCTGTGGTGTTCTCAGCACCGGGAGAGCTTTGAGGAGCCAGGGAGCTGGGAGAGAGGAAGCCTTTGGGGCCCTTTGTGATCCTGCTTGACCCACAAGAAAGTGAGATCCAGGAATCTCTGAGGGAGCCTCTGGTGCCCCAGAGAAACCTGTCTGACAGCTTCCCTGCCCCACCCAGTTCCTGGCCAATGTCTGGAGTGCACCACCTCACCGCCCCGCCTCCACAGCTTTCCCAGGGGCCCAGTGAAGTAAGAGGCTGCTGGAGGCCCCCAGCGCCTTCTCCCTCATAGTGGGCCCRAGGTCACACACCACTGCTCCCCCTGGGCCTGGTMCCCTTCCAGATGCAGCCACCTAGGGTCCTTGGGGCTATGGTGGGGTCAGGGGAGTTGGTGGGGTCTAGGAATGGAGGAGGCTGGGGTGGGGATGGGGCTGGGGTGAAGCTGGGGCAAGGCCACTGGGCCAGCTGACTTCCTGGCTCTCTTGTGCCCTCCCACAGCCACCATGGAGGTAATGAACCTGATCGAACAACCCATCAAGGTGACGGAGTGGCAGCAGACGTACACCTACGACTCAGGCATCCACTCAGGTGCCAACACCTGTGTGCCCTCCGTCAGCAGCAAGGGTATCATGGAGGAGGACGAAGCCTGTGGGCGCCAGTATACGCTCAAGAAGACCACCACCTACACCCAGGGGGTGCCCCAGAACCAAGGTCAGCACCTTTGGGGGCTTTTCCATRGGGTAGAAAAAACCCAGAAGACCCCTGGAAGAACATCAGAGCAAAGGAAGGCAGATTTCAGGAGGCCCCCTTGGTCTGAGGAGGAGGCAGACTTCCTACTCTTAGGGACCTGTGAAGTCTGAATGAGGAGGCGGCTCATGCTCACGGGAGCCCGCCCAGTCTGAGGGAGGAGGCTTAGCTTCAGGGTCTCCCGTGTGGGATGGAGGCAGACTCTTCTTCTATGAACCCTTAGTGTGGCGTGGGGGGCATAGACCCTGTCCCTGGTGCCACCAATCAGAAGAAGAGGCACAGTTTTTGCCTTCTGTGCACATGGGAATATGATGGGGAGGCATGATTCCTGCCCTCATGGGACCTGGGGATTGTGGAAGATGTTCTTTTTGCTCTAGGAGCCTTATGTCTGGTGGGAAAAACAGTTCTCCAGCCCCAGGGAGCCCCCAGCCTGGTGGAGGAGGTGCCGAGCTCAAGCCCAGACTAGGCCAGCGTGGGCTGGTAGAGATGGGCCAAGCGCAGGGTGGAGTGGCTGACTCAGTTCTGGGGCTTAGTCTCATGGTAGGGGGAGGGGGAAGGGCACCTTGCCAACTCAGGTGTCTCTTCCCTTCTGGAGGAGAGAAGCATCTGGACCCTAGGACTGTTGTCTCCAGGTGCCTTCAAGGCCTTGGAGAGGATGAGCTCTGGGACCTGGAAGAGTGCAAGGTGGACTGAGCCTGGCTGGGGTCTCTGCAGGGCTCAGCCTCTGCACCCTGGGTCTCTTCCCTGGCCACAGGCAGAAGCCTCAGCTGGGCAGAGCCTGGCACTGTGCTGGGAGCTCAAAGTATAGCATCCAGGTGGGAAGCCACGTAGGTGTCTCCTTGCCCAGCAATTAGAGTAAACTCTCTGCCTGCCTCTCCCTTGGGGCATTGGGATAGTCATCAAGGTGGGGGTGCCTGGGCTCCTACTTGTGGGACTCATGGGGCTCCCCARGGGCTGGAACCTGGAGGGGGGACCTGAAGTCTCCACTGGGGACTCAGAGAGTAGGGCTTTGGGCTCCTGAGTCTGTCYGTGACCTCTGTGCCCAGTAAAGTGGAAATAGTAATATACTTGACTTATAGGTAGTTGTAAGATTAGACAAGAAAATAAAAGGAATGAATTCATGGCCARGTGAATAATAAGTACTTAAAATATTACTTMATTTTATTAATAATTACCACTAACATTTCTGTAGTGAGAGGTGCCAGACATAAGAGACCTTTCTTTCCAGAGCAGTTCTCAACTATGATCTCATTTAATTGTCATAGGGATTCCCTGTGCTGGATATAACAGGTGGGACCCCATTTTACAGATGAGGAATCTTGAGGCATTGATGATCCCCCAATGCCATGGTTAGGGGCAGAACTATGAATGKTGCTCTGGGAGTTTGGTCAAGGTGGAAGGCTGCCCAGGGGACTCAGKTGGGCTGTCTRCACCTCCTGCCCTGCCCCCCCAGGGTCCTCCCCATCCTCCTCCTGCAGCTCTGTTCCCATTCTGTTGGCTCTCAGGTGATCTTGAGTACCAGATATCCACGACGGCCAGAGCCAAGCGGGTGCGGGAGGCCATGTGTCCAGGTGTGACAGGCGAGGACAGCTCATTGCTGTTGGCCACCCAGGTGGAGGGACAGACCACCAACCTGCAGAGACTGGCTGAGCCATCCCAGCTGCTCAAGTCGGCCATCGTGCATCTCATCAACTACCAGGACGATGCGGAGCTGGCCACCCGGGCCCTTCCCGAGCTCACCAAACTGCTCAACGATGAGGACCCGGTCCGTGAGGGCCTGGAGCGGGAGACGGGAGGGAGGTCCTGTCCAGACTCCCCAGTGGCCTGAGGTGGCTGACTTGAGTTTCTCTGAGAGGAAAGGGGTCCTGCCTCTTCCCTTCCTCAGCAGTGGGTCCTGGCCCAGCTGCTCACGTCCTCCCATTCTTTCCCAACCTCCAGGTGGTGGTGACCAAGGCGGCCATGATTGTGAACCAGCTGTCAAAGAAGGAGGCATCCCGCCGGGCCCTGATGGGCTCCCCCCAGCTGGTGGCRGCTGTGGTGCGCACCATGCAGAACACCAGCGACCTGGACACGGCCCGCTGCACCACCAGCATCCTGCACAACCTCTCCCACCACCGCGAGGGGCTGCTCGCCATCTTCAAGTCAGGCGGCATCCCTGCCCTGGTCCGCATGCTCAGGTGCTTGTCCCTTCCCACTGCGGGAGCCTAGGGCTCCCCTCGCCAGGGCTTCCCCTTCCCTTCTTTGGGCTTCCCTAAACACACTGAGCACCTGCTGTGTGCCAGGTGCAGAAGCACATCTCTCCTGGTGCTCYGTGGCACACAGGCTCGCAGGGGGCACAGGTGTGTAAACAGCACGTCAGTTATCAGGGTACAGGTAGGCTGTGGCTGAAGATGCCCAAGATTGCCCGCAGGTAGACTCGTTCCTGCGGCAGGGTTGATGGATGGGTGGAGTTTGGTTAGTGTAGATGAGGGCCATGGTTCCAGGTAGAGCGAATAGCATAGGTGAGGCCCCTGTGACCTTGTCTTTCCTGTCTTATGCTGATGTTGAGTGGCCTTATTGCTCATCCAGGCYGAGAGCTCCCTGAGGGTAGAGGTATTGATTTCACTCCCGGCTGCACCCTTTGCAGGGCCTCTCTGGCACTTACCCTTCCACATGGTTGTTACCCCACAGGGAAAGGTATTGAGGGGACTTACCATGTGCTCGGCACCAGAGGGGAGCTCAGAAGCAGAAGCAGTCATGTCTAAGTGCTTGGTGTATAAGAGTGGGACTGGGTTCACGGATTTGATTTGATTGATACATTTTTTTGTGTGTGGTACTGGGATTTGGACCCAGGGCCTTGTGCATGCCAGAGACATGAGGTTTTAAGAAAGAGCTATTCCCATGGGGATGTTGGTATGAGGTGGGCTTCCTGCAGAAGGTGAGAATACCCAGAGGCAAGGACCTGACTCCTCTGCACCCCTAGCTCTCCCGTGGAGTCAGTCCTGTTCTACGCCATCACCACCCTGCACAACCTGCTACTGTACCAGGAGGGTGCCAAGATGGCAGTGCGCCTGGCAGATGGGCTGCAGAAGATGGTGCCCCTGCTCAACAAGAACAACCCAAAGTTCCTGGCCATCACCACCGACTGCCTGCAGCTCCTGGCCTACGGCAACCAGGAGAGCAAGGTGGGCGCCCCCACCCCTGGCCTGCAGCCTGTGCTTGTATCACCTCCCACCCTGCCGGCTTTAGGCCTGTGTCCCCTTGTGCTTCCAGATGACGTATATGGCGAAACAGATAATCATGTTTTACCCTGTTTCTGAATTCTCAGAATGATTTTGAGGATCAGATAAAGAAAAATACCYTTATCTTTCTCATAGCTATTGTTATCTTTTTTTTTTTTTTTTGTGCAGTGCTAGTAATTGAAGTCTTTTTTATTTTTATTTTGAGACGGGGTCTCCCTCAGTTGCAGAGGCTGGTCTTGAACTTGTGATCCTTCTGCCTTAGCTTCCTGAGTCACGGGAATTACAGGCGTGTGCCGCTGTGCCTGGCCACTGCTGTTATTTTGATGTTTTTTCCTCAGTGCTGTTCTAAGGGCTTATTTATAAACACATACATCTGGTTGTAGTCAGAGCAGTATGTGGATTTGCATCTGTTTTCTTTTTTTCTTCCCCTTTTTCTTTCTTTCTTTCTTTTTTTTTTTTTTTTTTTTAACTGGAAACTGAACCTAGGGATGCTCTACCATTGAGCTACATCCCCATTTTTTAAAAAAATTTTGAGACAGGGGTCTCACTAAGTGCTGAAGCTGGTTTCTAGCTTGTGATCCTCCTGTCTTAACCTCCTAAGTCACTGGGATTGCAGATGTGCACCGCTGCTCCCTGCTGGATAGAACATCAGATTTTGCTACCAGTTTTCCCTCTTTATCTGTTATGAACATCTCTGGGCACATGACTTTTCCCGRAATAGAAAAAATTTTCATCAGCAGGGCTCTGGGCTTTTACCCAGATGGTCTAATTTCCGTTGTCGTCAGTAGCAGTGGCTGTGAGTACAGTTTTGCCACGTTCTAGTCAGCACTGGGTATTATCCTTTTCTTAAAAATTCTGGCTTTCGTGATCATCACAAAAGCTATTCAGGTTTGAGCAGAAGCTCAGTAATGACCGCTTTATCCTATATCTCCCTCCTCCCCTGCCGTATTCCCTGCCTTACTCCCGTTCCCCCCCTTTCCCCGACAGCTCATCATCCTGGCCCATGGAGGACCCCAGGCACTTGTGCAGATCATGCGGAACTATAGCTATGAGAAGCTTCTCTGGACCACCAGCCGCGTGCTCAAGGTGCTATCCGTGTGTCCCAGCAATAAGCCTGCCATTGTGGAGGCTGGTGAGTATGATRGCTTCAAGGGTGACCTGTGTGGTTGGAAGGGTCAGGGTGGGGGTCCTGCCCTGTAGCCAGGCTGGGTCATCTGTGCTCCCCTATGGCTGACAAGACCCCTTTCCTGCCCCAGGTGGCATGCAGGCCCTGGGCAAGCACCTGACCAGCAACAGCCCCCGCCTGGTGCAGAACTGCCTCTGGACCCTGCGTAACCTCTCGGATGTGGCCACCAAGCAGGTGAGGGAGGTGACCAGGGTTGGGGCCAGCTTCTGCAGCTTCCTGTTTGGGTGTCCAACCTCAGGTGCTGGGGGAGGACTGGAGCCTCTGCATCCTCCACCCTCGTAGCTGAGGCTGGAAAGGCCCTGGAGGCCCTCATCCATGTGGCTGGAGATTCTAATCCTATTAGGGATCTGGGAAGGGGAAAGGAAGGGCCTGACATCTTTAAGCAGCAAAGGTTCAGGTGGCAGCAGAGGCCCAGTTTTGGCTAGACCCTGGCCAGGAGCAGCAGCGTACCAGAAGATGGCTGTGGGGCCCCAGTGGCTGAAAACAGCTGCAGGGAAGGTGCAGCTCAGTCCCTCCTTGCACCCCATCCGCCATTGCCAGCAGCCTGCCCCCACCCTCCACACTGGGCTAGAGCTCCGCTGGGCTCCTGTGGACCTGAGCTTGCTTAACCCTTTCAGCAACCTGGAGGTGGAGTGTGCGACCCTGGTTAGATGACAAAACCGTGGCTCAGGGACTTAAGGAATGTCCTGTGGTCATAGGTAGTAATGGTAGCTGGCGTTCCAGCCCCAGATTGTGTGTCCCCAAAGCCCAGGGTCTTTCTGTCCTATCACAGGCCCTCATGGCTCTCCCTGGAGAAGTGAAGCTTCCAAACTAGGGATTTTTCCTGAAAGTAGGTTTGGCTTAGAGACCTCTGGAGAGGGGAGGGCAKCAGGGGAGGCCAGAAAAGTGGGAARTGTGTGACMGTGGGTCRCCTGGTCACAGAAGCATGTGACCTCCTTGACAGTCTCCTCTAGGCCCGGAGGCCTCCTTTGGCCAAGATGCCCTTGGCCAGGGCAGGGCTCTGCCTCATTTGAGGGCCCAGGGCCAGGTGGGTAAGATGGAGGAAAGAGTGTGGAGCTTAGTGACCTGCCTGGGTTCGGACACATAGTTGTGCATCTGGGCAAACCTCGAAACCTCTCTGAGCCTCTTGGCCTTGCTTGCTCTAGGGRTTAGTAACACCCTTTCCCAGGGTATCAGCAGGTCATGGGATGAAAGTTCCCAGGCATGTGCAGGCAGGCCTATCCCTTTAGGCCATCAGCTCCGCTTGGACATACTTGGAAAGGCTTCCTGTAGCTGGCACCCCCTCACTCTCCTTGCCCTTCTCCCCACCCCCAGGAGGGCCTGGAGAGTGTGCTGAAGATCCTGGTGAACCAGCTGAGTGTGGACGATGTCAACGTCCTCACCTGTGCCACGGGCACCCTCTCCAACCTGACCTGCAACAACAGCAAGAATAAGACTCTGGTGACACAGAACAGTGGCGTGGAGGCGCTCATCCATGCCATCCTGCGYGCTGGCGACAAGGATGACATCACAGAGCCTGCTGTCTGTGCCCTGCGCCACCTCACCAGCCGCCATCCTGAGGCYGAGATGGCTCAGAACTCCGTGCGCCTCAATTACGGCATCCCAGCCATTGTCAAGTTGCTCAACCAGCCAAACCAGTGGCCACTGGTCAAGGTACAACTCCCCTGCCTGGGGGTCAKCGAGGGGAGGCAGCTCCCTGTGCAGGCCAGGCACTGCATTGGTAAAGCGGCCCTAGATACAGTGGCTCAGATAGGCCAAAGTTCATTTCTCTCTCATGGAGCAGTTTAAACCCGATTGTCATCAGCTTTGCCCCAGACACAGATGATTTCTGTCCTGTGCCTCTGCCACCCCTAGAGCAGAGCTTCTCAAAGTTCAACATGCACACACGTGTGGCCTAGGTCGGGGAGGGGGTCTCATTCCTCTGCAGGAGCCGGTTCAGTGCCCCTGGCTGGGCCTGGGAGACTGTGTTGCTAACAGGCTCCTCCAGGGATACTGCTGGTCCACAGAGCACGTTCCTTATACAGAAGGTTAGATGACAGCGTTGCTCCCACACGGATGGTTGGATTGTGTGCCCCCACCATGGGGAAGGAGCGAGGCCTGGGGCCAGCAGAACATGGACCCACTCTGGCTCCTGCCCCAGAACCTGGTTACCGGGCCTCATCGAGATGTAAGGAAGTTAGGAAGAGTCACCACCAGCCACATGGCCACATGTCCTGCTAAACTAGGACAGTGCCAAAATGAAAAAGAAAGGGAGCGCTCTGGGGGTGGGTGCTCAGTCCCTGCCCTGGGGAGGTGGGAATGGGGGGTGGGGCCTCTTGCTCAGGGGCTTCCTGATAGAGAAGGGATGTGTATCCCTTCTCATAACCAGTGGGGGAGTGATGGCAGGCCAGGGGCAGCCAGGCAGGGGACAGAGTTATGGCAGATGGGGTGTGTGTTTGTAGGAACAAGGAAAAGAGCCCAAGGCAAGGTGACATCTGGTGCGAGGGAGTGAGAAAACTACCATTGACTAGGGTTTCGTGAGTGCCACGGGAACTCCACTACCCTGGGGGTGTGCCACTTGCTAAATATTAGACAGTTGAGCGGTGTAGATGAGAATGACGCTCAGCGATTATGCACACTGAATTTAAAAAATAGATCTATAGGGGCTGGGTTGTGGCTCAGAGGTACAGCACTTGCCTAGCAAGKGGGAGGCACTGGGTTTAATTCTCAGCACTGTATATAAATAAATAAAATAAACAACAATTTTAAAATATTTTTTTAAAAAGATCTAAAAAAAAAAAAAGATCTATAGTGAGAAAAAAATGGTGGGTGAGTGTGACCCCACCTTGTTGCTTGTTCCTTGCTGCAAGCCAAGGTGCTGATATTATTTACATCCTGACCCAGCAGCTAAGTGACAAGTAACACCCTGTGTTCCCATCCTCATCTCTCACATGACTTTCATCCCTGCCCTACCAGTTTCTTGTTTTGAGCATCCAGTGATGTGACAAATTGCTTTGCCAGATCCTGAGGGGCTCTGGGAGGTCAGAGTGGTGGCTGTGAGTCAAGGTCCCTGGGGASGGGAACTCATCCTGGAGCTGCCCTGTTGGAGATTGATTGCAGTATGAGTGTCACCAAGCAGGAGGCTTTGGGGTCAACCGTGGCAAAGATTTCCTGATAATCCGGGTTTGGGAATTAGAAAAGCAAGCGAGCTGGGTGCAGTGGCACAGGCCTGTAATCCCAGCTTCTCAGGAGGCTGAGGCAGGAGGACCACAAGTTTCAGGCCAACCTGGACAACTGTCTCAAAATAAAAAAAAAATAATAAGCATTGGGGGTGTAGCTCATTAGTAGAGCACCTGGGTTCAGTCCCTAGTACTACAAGAAAAGAACAGAAAATTTAGACGTGAGGACTCACGGGTCCTCCACAATAAGGGACCCAGGCGGGGAGTGGTCTCGTCCTCTGGAGATCTCCCAGTGTGTGTGTGGGGGGCCTGCAGGGCAGAAGAGATGACAGCAGAGGAAGGAAATCCTGAAACTGGGAAACTGGGGTCCTCTAGATGCCCCTGAACTCTGCTCTTTTCCCGCCAGGCAACCATCGGTCTTATCAGGAATCTGGCCCTGTGCCCGGCCAACCATGCCCCCCTGCAGGAGGCGGCCGTCATTCCCCGCCTTGTCCAGCTGCTGGTCAAGGCCCACCAGGATGCCCAGCGCCACGTGGCTGCAGGCACGCAGCAGCCCTACACCGTAAGTGAGCTTGGTGGCGCCTGTGACAGCCTTCCTTGGGTGTCAGGGTGTCCTCAGTGTTAAGTGTATATGTAAAGGAGGAGGTGGGCTGCATTGGATGTTGATTCCAAGGTTCAGTGAAATCTGTCAGTCTGTCATTGTGGGRAGGAGTGGTGAGCTTGTCCAAGGGCCACCTGTCCTGATGCCACATGCCTCGTCTCGTGCAGGACGGTGTCAGGATGGAGGAGATTGTGGAGGGCTGCACTGGAGCCCTGCACATCCTCGCCCGGGATCCCATGAACCGCATGGAGATCTTCCGGCTCAACACCATCCCCCTGTTTGTGCAGGTGAGTCTGGGTGCAGGTGGGCAGGGGAGCTCCCCTCAGCCACTACCAAGAGGGTAAGATTGGGAGTCATGGGTTTGGGAGGCCCAGGCCAGGAGTCGGGAGGTCTTTGGAAGGGAATGGCCACACCAGGAGTGAGTACCCAGGCAGCTCCCAGATRCGATGGTTTTCCAAGCTCAGAAGCAAAGAAAGAGATGACAAACGAAGAAACAAAAATCTTGCGATTCAACCACAGGAACATTAGAGCTATCTGTATGTCAGAGACAACCTAAAAAGTAAACAGCAAACTGGGAAAATATGTTCAAGTACCACAACAGGCAGGAGTTCAATAGCCCTCGTGTTAAAARCTCATTTATACTAAGTCCCAGGAGTTAGATGCAGGCAGAGGCCACAGGTAATTCCCAGGAGGCTCATACACAAACAATGCTCAGCCCCAGGAGTTTAGAGAAATGAAACTTGTCCCCCAGCGAGAGCCCCATTTTCTACTATCAAATTGGCAAAGGAAAATAATTGAGTGTGCCCTACGCAGGGGACAGTTTGATGAAATAGACTCATACCCTGCTGGTGGGAAGCAGGCTGGAAAGCAGCCTTGCAGTATTTATAGGGAGCTTTGGAAATATTCATGTTCCTATCTTTCAACCAACTAATTCAAATCCAAGGCTATGAAATAATTTAATGTCACTTAGAATATGGACAAAAATTGGGGCTGTGGTTGTGGCTCATTAGAAGAGCGCATACCTACCATGTGTGAGGCACTGGGTTTGATCCTCAGCACCRCATAAAAATAAATAAAGGTATTGTGTCCATCTACAACTAAAAACAAATTAAAAAAAATACGGTCGAAAATGTATACACAGAGATAACAATTACAATGTTACTTACAGTATTTAAAAACAAACAGCAATCCCAGAGGCTTGGGACTCTGAGGCAGGAAGGTCGCAAGTTCAAAGCCAGCCTCAGCAACTTAGCAAGATCCTAAACAACTTAGTGAGACCTTGTTTTTWAAAAAAGGGGGCGGGGGCTGGGGATCCGACTGAGTGGTTAAGCACCCCTGGGTTCAATTCCTGGTACAAAAAAATAATTTTTTGCTTTTAAAAATCTTCTTATTAATTGAATTAGCRGAGTAAAGGGTTAGTGCTGTGGCTTCCTTCCATAGCAGTCTCATAGCACTACATTTAGCCTTCAGCATTTAGTCTTTCTCTCTTATCAATATGAATGCCTAGATGTTTAGGAAAARTTTAAACATCATACATAGGAAAATGCTTTATTCCACTATAGCAAGTGCAGGAATCATCAGAATTATATACAGTGGACAATAATCGGCCTGTGATAAAAACGCAGTGGGAATATGGCAGTGTGTTAACAGCAATCTTCTATCCACTGGGGGAATTCTGGCTGGCTTGCTYCTTTCTGTGTCTTTATGCCTTCTTGGGCTTTTCTCATTTTGTGGCATAAGCTTAGGTTAAACCCAGAAAGGGGTGRGCAGGGCTGTGGGCCGTGCTGCCCGGCCTGCCTCACCCTCGTGCCCTGCACTACTCCCTGTCCTCTGTCCTGTCCTCCAGCTCCTGTACTCGTCGGTAGAGAACATCCAGCGTGTGGCCGCCGGGGTCCTCTGCGAGCTGGCCCAGGACAAGGAGGCAGCCGATGCCATTGATGCCGAGGGGGCCTCTGCCCCTCTCATGGAGCTTCTGCACTCTCGCAACGAGGGCACTGGTGAGGGGCTGGGCTGTGGGCCAGGGGAGGGGAGGCTGGCCTTGCTCCCCCAGCGGCGGTGGCCTAGGTAGCATCGACGTGGCTGTAACTTCCCTCTCTGCTCAGCCACCTATGCTGCCGCTGTCCTGTTCCGAATCTCTGAGGACAAGAACCCAGATTACCGCAAGCGCGTGTCCGTGGAGCTCACCAACTCCCTCTTCAAGCACGACCCCGCCGCCTGGGAGGCTGTGAGTATCCAAGGTTGAGGTGCAACTTCTGGGGAACCTTCACCCGTATCCTTGGCTTCACAGATTTTTATATTGTTTTTGGATCATTTTTGACTTTCCTAGCAGATAGAGTCAGTAGATGGAACCATGTATTTGTCCCCCGCCCCCACAGTGCTGGGGATTGACCCATGTCCTTGCACATGTCAGACAAGCCTGTTACCACTGAGCCACCTTCCCAGCCGCACCACGTATCTGTTTTTGACCCAAAATAGTAGCAATTTCATTTTGCCCAAATGAATATAAAAGGTTTGAGGAAGGACACCTTTTTCTTCTCTTTGCAGAGGTGGGGACTGAACCTTGGGCCTTGTGCATTCTGCCACTGAGCTCTACCCCCAGCCCAGGTTCCCTTTTTTAATTTGTGCAAAGATGCTAGCAGTGTCCTGGGCCTGGCTGGGGCAGTGTCCCGTATTCATTCTTTAGTTCTCTTCCTGCCAACCCCCCCAGATCTGGTTCTGTGGGAGCCCCCAAGCACGAGACCCACACCCTGAGGAGGTGCCCAAGGTCATGAGTTCATCATCCTCTTCCGCCAAGAGATCTCCACTTTGCCTTAGACCCTTTTTTAGGAGTCCCTCCCTGTCCCCAGCYGAGAGCCAGCCCAGAGCGTGCCTTTGCAGACCTCCTGCTTTCTCTCCCTCCCYAGGCCCAGAGCATGATCCCCATCAATGAACCCTATGCTGATGGTAAGTGGCCAGAAGTCTTCAGGATTCCAGAGAACCTAGACTCTGGCAAGTGAGAGGGACGGGGGGACACATCATGGCGGCCACTTTGTGGTGTCCACCTGGACTCCAGTMTAGATCCCCTGGTGTGGGAGTTTGGGAAGGAGGTAGGGGCCCTTGGTGGTGGGCAGGGGTAGAGGAGTTGGCTGAGGGCTACCTAGACCAACTCCTGTGGCGTGGCCTGCAGACCTCTAGACAAATTCCCTTCTTGTCCCCAGACATGGATGCCACCTACCGCCCCATGTACTCCAGCGATGTCCCGCTTGACCCTCTGGAGATGCACATGGACATGGATGGGGACTACCCCATTGACACCTACAGCGACGGCCTCAGGCCCCCCTACCCCACTGCGGACCACATGCTGGCCTAGCTGGCCCCACCCAGTACGGCACCTGCTGCCTCACGGCCCTACGCCTGCTCACAGGCTGCCGAGGTGCCTGTTTCTCCCTCTCATGAACCTCCTTCTGATGGGAGCCCTCCATTTTCTCTGCTGAAACCTTGGCTTCTGTTTCGGGGGGAAGGAGTATGGGAGCCCCTTGCCGCTGAGCTTCCCAAAGTAAGGCATGCTCTGGCTGCCTCCTCCTTGTACCTTTGCTTGGGGCTGGAGTCCTGCTCCTTCCAGCCTCTTCTTTCTAAGGAAAGACAACTGGCCCTTCTGGGGTGGTGGGCGAGTGTCATGGGAGTGGCCTGAGCTTCTGGGGGACACCCAGTCCCTGGTCCCTGGGTCTGTGCCCCTGRCAGATGCGGTTCCTCGCCTGAGAGGCTCTTGTGCAGGTGATGGGGTGAGACAGAAAAGTGCCTGAGCCGTGGGAGCCCGGGCTGTGACTTCCTGCTGGACTCCACGCCTTCCGAAGTCCTCCCAGGGTTTCTTGGGATGGTGTTCTGCCCCTGCTTTTCTGTCCTGGGCTGTGGGTTCAGGGCCCGCCTGACCTCCCTGCCCCACTTCTGTGGCCGTGGCCGCTAAAGCTTTAGATTCAGCCGCCCACCCTGTGTCTCCCAGCAGCCCTCCTGACCTGTTTRTCCCCAGTTGCCTGGACCCTTCTCTGGGTCAGGTTTTCTCACCAAACTCCCCTGACCCACTGCTCTGAGGCCCCAGGGTCTCCAGGACCCAGGCTCAGGGCCCAAACCCCTGAAATCCAAAGCTTCTTTTGAAAAATTCAGGGACCTTCCAGGGAGACAGGATGGAGATGCAGAAAGTGAATCCCCTACTCTAACGGACGTCCACCGATCTCTCTAGGATCCTAAATTGGCTTCTGCCCCTCCTGGAGAAGCTCTGGGGACATCTCCCACCCTGACCCCCCCACTGCCCCAGCTGACCCCCAGAAGTGCTCTTGCTGACCCCTCTGGTGTGCGGTGAGGGGCTTTCTCTTCCCTTCCAGTTTCAGACTCCCCTACCATTCCTTGCACATGGGTATGGGAGGGTRGCAGGGGTCCCAGCCGAGAGTGTATTATTATCGCTTTATGTTTTTGGTTATTGGTTGTTTTTGTATAGACCAAAGCAAAGAAAATAAAAGTAACACACAGATCCGGTGGGAACCACTTAGGGGTGGGGTATGGGGAAGACAGGAGAGGAGGGGCCTTTCCTGTTTCCCTCCTTGTCTGGACCCTTGTGTCCTTGTGGCTGCCTGAGGTGTGGGAAAGACAGGGCAGGAACCATGGGGGAGAAGGGAGTGTTGGAGGAGTCAGTTTAATCCCCACACAGCTGCAGGGCTGCAGCTTAGAACCTTCCAAGGCGAGGACAGGGCAAGACATGTCAGGGGTGAGTCCCGCCCTCAGGGACGCCAGGCCTTGKTCCTCTCTAATGGCAAGCTCCTTTCTGGCCTCTGCCTCCAGCCCTGCTTTGTGTGCAGATATTGTGCTCCCTGTGGCCTCCGGCTTGGTTCTCTGCCCCTCTGGTCTGCAGTGGGCCCTCCCCAGCTCCTGCCTACTCCCCACTGTGTCCCCTGCTGCCAGCTCTGCCCTCAACCATGTGGTGCCAGCGGGCATCTTCTATGCTGTCTCCTGCTACCTGGTCTTTGCTTGTGCACCCCCACCTGCCTGGCCTGCCTTCCCCTTCTCATCCAGTGGCATGTGACCCCAGGAACAACCCCAGACTGAGCTGTGCACCTTTTCTTCCATGCTCCCTGGTGGTACAGACTGTCATTTCACCCGTCACGTTGGTCTGTTAGCTTTACGTTGACAGTTCCCCACCCACAGTGCTGGGTTCTTTCTGAGGTGGGCTGGTCCCAAGGCACCCGGCACACCTGAGACCAGGAGGTACTTGTGGCTGCGCTTGCAGGGCGGGGTGCCTGCTTTCTACACCTGGCTGGAGTCKGTCAGGGCTGGCTGGGCCATGGAGCCTCAGTGGGATGGGGTGCTGGACCAGAGGCAGGCAGCCTGGTTAGGAGGTGGCAGGATGGTCCAAGCACAGGGGATGACACACTGAGCTGAGCTCTGCTGACAAGAACCTTTGGAGGGGAGAGGGGACATAGTGTTCAGGGGCCAAAAGGAGGGAATTAACAGTGCTTATTATCTGTACTCCATGTTCAGGACTTCGGCAGAAAACACCTGAATTGGGAAATTTGTGAACTTGGTAGAGGGACAATCTACAAATATGTGGGTGGTATAGTATAGAGCCAGGAAGAGGACAGTACCCTGGGCTAGTTACCGTGGCCTCACCAGCTGGAGCCTGAGGCAGGAAGTGGGGAATGTGTACTGGGAGCAGGACCCTGAGGATGAGGCTCCTGACAGGAAGCTGTGACCTCAATTCCTCCTGCTGGTGATTGCTGTTGGCCAAACTCAGGCAGAAACCAGAAAGCCCAGCRCAGCGTGGAGAAGAGCTGGAGAGACCAAAAAAGACACCCAGCCAACTACCACCCCATCTTTCCAAAAGAGGACTCGCTGTTGAAAGGATTAAGCCTCCTAACAGAAAATGGAGGCAAGGGAAGGGAGGGGGCAGGAAGCAGCTGCATGTCGAAGGTTGATTCTACCCATGATCAAGCTTCACAYGAGGCTCTGAGCTTCCTGGCAGCCTGGTCAAAAAGGAAACAAGGGGTCTGGGGTTGTAGCTCAGTGTTAAGAGCGCTTTCCTGGCATGTGTGGGGCACTGGGTTCGATTCTGAGCACCACATATAAATAAATAAAATAAAGGTCCATTGACAACCAAAAAAAAAAAA